TATATTTAGCTCCTCGAGAGGTGATGGTAACGATGATGTTCTTTAGAAATGATCCTCTGATTTAGCAACAACAGCCATGATCCTCTGTTTCGGAAGTTCAATACAAAGAAGAATAAAAATTGTATTAGCAATTTATTAAAAAAACAAGTAAAGTATGTAGAAAAGTAATAATTAAGTTAATTTACGACCTTGTCCACGAAAAGCCTTTCTTATTTTGCAATACATAGCACCATGGAATATACAAACGATGACGATCAGCCCAACAACTTTGATTGCGATTAGGACAAAACCGTTCAATGGAGTTCCATTATCGAACATGGCTTGATCAGTCGGACTCGGAGCAATAGAAGATACGGAAGTCACAGTCACAGAGAGGGACACAAGTAGGAGGAGGACGATGAGACGAAGATTGGAAGCCATTGAAGTGTACAAAATATACCAAGCCCTTTGAGTAGAACTGGAACGAATCTGAAGCATATATTTCAAACAATGACAAAAAAATCAAAAGTCCTTTCAGGAACAGTCTAATGTTAGCAACTAGATTAACAATTCAGTAGAGTGATCAACCATTCCCGAAATCGTCAAAAGGATCCATATTCCTCAAACAAAAAACCTAAAGCACTCAGATTAATTTGTAATATGCAACAATGCCTTAAAAAACGAAAACCCTAAAGCACTCACACTAAGTAGATGCGAGTCTCTAAGAACAAAAACCTAAACACAAGGAACGAAGCGTACCTGGACGAGTGAGGAATAAGTAGAAACTATTGATTCACGAACTTTGGAGCTCTCCTACAGCCCCGAGCAAAGGAAAACGCGAGGTTGAATGTGGAAGGAGAGGCTTTGGAGAAGCTGGTACGTAATAATATTGGACACAAAGGATGAACCAAGAAAACTCAATCCAGTGACTGGCTCCCTCACCTACTTTAGTTACAAAGAAAGTTGGTACAATGGAAGAAGAACCATTAATGTGGATTTTCCTAAAATGGAAGATAGAGTGTTGAAGAAGCTTTCTGAAATGAGGAATGGTATCTGAACAGGTACAATTAAAAGCTTTGTTTTCTACGACGTCAATACTTCACAC